ATACATTTCATAAAAACACCATATTTATATCTATACTATCTTATTAAGCAAATTTAGCAAAAGTTTTAAAGTCTTAAAATATTAAATTACCAAGATACCCTTTATACTACCCTTATGTCACTTTTTCACTTTTTCACCCCCTCTTCTCCTCACATACACTCACCCTCTCACAACCGATTTTTTTTAAAATTATAATTTAAATTTATATTTTATATCCCTATAATTAGTTAATTAATTTACTTTACGTTTTTTACTTTTAAATGTTTCATTTTAAACATTTATCAAATTAACATACATAATCGTATATCAATTAAAACATGTCAAAAAATACATTTTTATTTTAACAAGTTACATCATTATAATCATCTCGTTAATACCTTCGAAATGAGTCCAATATTGAATAGTTTTTGACTTAATTATATTATTATATATTATATATACTATGAAAAAATATTTTTAATATTTACGATTTATAATTTTATAGTTATTTATTTATATATATATATATGTTATATTTTGGGGTTAGACTGTCCAAATTGTACTGTATAATATGTTCTGAATTAATATGTTTTTGGGTTTTTTTGAAATTTATATATACATGTATTACTTCAACCTTAATCTGAGTTTCTGGACAAGAAAGAGGGTAAACAGCTGAAATTTCATTCTAAAACCCATTTTTTGGGTCTTTTCATGACTTATAATCTGTCAAATTTGTAGTTTTCTTTATTGGTTTTGAGTGTTTATCTTAAAGCTCAAGTTTCTTGGTTCTTTACTCTTGGTGTAAATCGAACACATTTGTGGAGTCGTTTAAATATGTTGGATTTTAAACTGTCATACAATTTTTTTTCATCGATAGTCTGTAATTGGAACCATAACTCTTATTTATTCAAATTGTATTAATATGTTAAGATCAAGTGTAACTTATATCATCGTTAAATCTTATCTTATAAAACCAGTGGAACTTTAAAATCGTTAAAATTCATGGCTCCGCCGCATTACGCGGGTACACAACTAGTATATATACATACAAAAATTTATATTTACATATATACGTATATATACATGTACATATATATACGTATATATGTATGTATATATATGTATGTATCGTATATATATATATATATATTCAAAAATATTGAGAAATTTTACCGGTTTTTTCATAGTGATAGGTGATTGTTCCACGTTTGGGGTGGCAGCACACTTCGGTGTCGGCGGAAAGTGGTCGGTGTCGACGAAAGGTGGGGGATGGCGGCGGAAGGTGGTTGATGGCAGCGATGGACGGTGGTAGTTGGCGGCGGAATGTGGTCGGTGTCGTGAAACGGTGGTGGATGACGGTGGATCGGTGAATGGTGGTCGTCGGTGATCGACCATGGATGTCGGTGATCGGTGGATAATCGTGGATGTTGGTGAAGGCTCGGTTTTTGGGAGGTTTAAATTCTCATCAACTATCATTAATTTTTTAATTCAAAAATATCAAATTGAACGAGATTAATGAGCAATTTACCTGTTAACACTTACCGGTAATAAAAACCATCTAGTTTACTTTACTGGATAAGATTGTAGTCCATCAAACCAGTATCGCATGTGATAATTTACCCAATAAACGTTTACCGGGTAATAGTCATCACCCTCACAGCCTCACTCATAGGATAAAAACCATCCATCCTTATCACAACTTTTACATTATTAGATTTTCAGTTATCGTCATCTTCATCTGATAAACTAAATGATCCAGTAAATACCTGTCCGTTTATGATTTATTAGAGAAAATGGCACAAATAGCCATTTTCAATCAACCAAATTTATCCTTTAGCTATTTCTCTCACGAAAACTTATTTTTATATTTTTATCGTCCCTTCAGAAGTCGATGAATGGTTATATGTGAAAAGAAAAGAGAAATAAATAAGAGGTAAATTTGATCGAGTGAAATAACCATTTTAGCTGTTTTCCGAATTTATTATAAAATGATTGAGAGGTGTTAATTTAGGGAACGTAGGTATAGGCGTAGGTCCACTGCCAAAACACAACTCCCTGCATTTTCCAAGGGACAGAAAACTCAATGCAAACCCCCCCTTCGCCTTCACCTTCACCTTCACCTTCCGCTTCAGAATCTGATACCATCTCAGGTTTTTGTGTTTTCAATCCCCTCCTCTTTTAATTACTATTAATTAATTCTTCCCTTATTTATTTATTTATTTTATATTAATAATCACTCCATTTTTTATATTATATTTTTTGAATTAAAAATAAATATAGTTATAATTCTATATTTCATGTTTGGAAATAAAGTGCAATATCTATACTATCTTATAAAATATTTGACTAAAACTTTTAAAAACTCTTAAAGACAACCTCTATTGCTAATGGTACAACATGTTAAAGCCATCCCTAAACCCGTTCATCCCTAAACGATTTCATCCCTAAACGATTTCATTCCTATCCGATTTCATCTTTATCATATTTCATCAAATACAGGATAAACATCTCATTTTAAATATAAAAAATCTAAAATATAATTAGTATAATCATTAAGTTCTAACATAATACTTAATTATTTTTATAAAATGTTATATTATTAAACCAAAAATAAATTATTTAATTTTTAAACTTAAATTAAATTATAATAAAAAAATAAATTAAAGAAATTATATAAAAAATGAAAACTTTTAAATAGTTGATTTGATGTTAAAATTGATATAATTTTTTTTCAAATTTATATTTTATTCAAAAATAAAATCATTATTGTTTTCTTTAAAACACATAAAATCGTATTATAATATCGATAGAGACAAAAAATAAATTAAAATATTAAAATCAAGATATGTCTCACTGCATTGCGCGAATACTCTTCTAGTCTTCTAGTTTTAATTAAAAGATGGTGTAAATATGATTTTTAATGGTGATAATTAAATATGTGTAATATAATTAAATAAAAGAAAATTGTAATAATTGCATTGGGCTTTATTCTTTGGTGTGTGAAGTAGACGTATATCAGAAGTTAAAAGATGTGTGTGCAGTGATTGTTTTTGTTCCGTCACATTACACTCTCTCTCCTTCTTTTTTACTTTATCAACTATTGACCCCTCTACTTTCTATTTTCTCTCTTTTCAGTCCCTAAACTTTCTACCACCCTTCCCATCAACATCAATTGCTATGCAAGTAAACATCAAACATATGCTTCTCCTTTTTGCAAAACAAATTGTAGTTTTATACACTTGAAAATCACTAAAAGATTTCATATCGTATAAATCCTTTTAAGCAAGTTTTTTTTATTAACTTGGATATCCAACTCGTTATCCAAGCCGATTAATCCTAGGACGATCACCTGCTTTACAGATAGTCCAGAGTCATCGCATTTGAACCTCCGTGACCACAAAGAGATTTTTATTTCTCATTGGATTTGAACCTAAGACCTCTTGGTACTTTTGACATTTGGAGCCAAACTCAAACCAATCAGACACCACCCTTGTGGTTAAGCAAGACTCTGAACAATGTGAGATATGACATGATAGTGAGGCCAAACCTCAAGCTTTAGAAGTCGCTGAAGCCATAGCATTTTTCAAGGAGTGACTTTATTGTGATAAATTTCTATATTATATATAATATTATATCTATATATAAACATATGTTTTCTATTGTTACGGTTACTTGGTTGATTATCATCAATTTAGGTGTAAATAAAAATGGTGAAGCGACGAATAGTTGAATATGTCATTGTGACACTAGTAGTTGTTTAGTTTAAAATAATGAGATATAAGATTTTATTATAAATGAAGCATGAATTTTTTTTATTAAAAAAAAAGCCTGATCATCTCTAAACTCTTTTTTTTTTCTTTGCTTTTGTTTGATATATTGATTTGCCTTTCAAAAGAAATTTTTAATAAATTAATGATTTATATTTAATGTTTTATGAATGTGTTTTCTTAAATTAAAAGTCTTATCTAAATATCTTACAAGAGAGTATTCAGATTTTGTCATTTTAGGGACATAAAATCTTTTAACAAACACATTTTTTAACCAATCACAAATTGCAAAGGGGCAAAGTGTTAAAAGTTAAAATAGATGGACTGAAAATAAAACCTTTTCTATTTGGCAATCTTCAAACTCACCAAAGGTTCTAAAACCTTATTTATTGCTAGCTCTCATTGTAATGGTCTATAAATGCAAGCAACCCTTTACCAGTCTCTTCAAATGGCATCTCAATTTGCCTATTTCCATCACTTCACCATCACACCACCACCAACCACCCTCACCACCACCACCTCCCCCAACAAAAACATGCTTGTCATTTCATCCTCTCCACCACCAACTCCGCCACCACCGTCAACTAACATACATCAATGTTCGCCGGCTCCCGCCAATCACCGTCGCCACCTATCCATCCTTTCAAGCCGGAACACCAGACGTTAAAATGCCACATGACGTTATCCCCACTGAGCTTCCTTCCTAATAGTTTCTTTTTTTCTTGACCTTGCAAGACTTCTTGTATTTTTTTCATGGGTCCTCCACACTTTTCAGTCCCTTTCTCTTTTATTCTTCTATTTTGGATGACGTCGAACATCCGGACTCCTATACCTTGACTATCCCTCCTGAGCTTGCCTTTGTCTTATTCACCTTTTACTTTTATCTCCTTAAATGTAAACTTTTATCTCCTTAAATGTAAGTATTTTACGTAATTAATGTAGTTTCATTGTAAATTGTGTCTTTTTTGTTATATAAATCTGCTCACGAATTGTAATTTAATTCCCTTTTTGCTTGCTTATAGTTTTATAAAAATGTCGTATAACAAATCAAATCAAACCAAACCAAACCAAACCGATCAAGAAAGCACGGTCTCTAATAAAATATATGCATACATGACTTCAATCCTTATAAAGTAACAAACAAACAAACAAATAGATGGTTGGTAGGATACAAGTGTCTACAACAATTTTTGTATAATTTCTTTAAAAAAATGAAGAATAAAGTCAAAATCTCACGATTTCTTTACACGATACAGACAAAGAATTACATTCAACTCCGACAATTTAATTTATTTATAAAATACAGACACCAGCTTTAATATTGACAAAACAATACAGGGGAGATCGTTTGTGGGAAAATGGTGTATATACAAAAGCACCATTAGCAATTAAACAAAATCAAGCCAAAAAAAGTGAAATTTAGAAGGGTAAAGATCTTCAAATTCGATGCCAATGTCTCTGCTTTCAGTAATCACCACTAGCTGGGAGTTTCTACTGATGGGTTCAAAGAACAAAACCATGATCTTCTGCTTTTGGAATGTGAATTCGACCACCGAAAACTCGATCTCGAGTACTTGGCCAGCTGAGCCCGCAAGCTCGGTCGCTCTGTGGACCGCCTAATTAGTGATGGGATTGTGTCTAAACCTTGCATGCACAAATTCGTCTTGAGTTTGAACGATGGGAACTTTTGGGATCTCAAAGAACGGGAAGAGAGTTTGGGTTTGCATAAGGGAGTTGTTTCTAGTGCGGTTCTATTGCTGCCACCCGCCATTGAAGAACACGAGCAGCATGAAAGGGATGAGCTTGATTTCGACGTTTGGAGGGGTGGTTTAGTGCTTGCGAGCTTCTTGAATGACACGATTCCGGCACGGCAGAGTGGGCAGGGGATTGAGCCCGGTGGTCCATTGGGTGAGCTTGAGGTGTTGCTTGTGGAACAGAGATATAAAGCACATCGAGTGCATAGTTCATGCAAACAACCTGTAATTAAGACATAAAGGGCATGCCATCTTCATCAAATGCTTGGAGGTTTTGGCCGATAATTCTTGGGATTTTAGAATCAAATGAGAACCGTAAATATTTTAGAATAAAAAAAGAACCGCAAAAAATAAGTCTATGAATGTTGAATATAAACTTACAAGTCAGTTTTCATGCTTGTGAAAATGTAGTGTTTACACACTATTGTTATATGTAGTTCGTAACTGTTTTGCGTGTGGAAAAAGCAGTCCTAAACATTGCGCGTGTGAAGCTGTGTTTCAACACCACATAAAAACTGATTTATAAGTTTATATGGATTATCAGGTTTTTAAAAGAAAGGGAATCACCAGGGTTGTTCATAATGAATAATACCTGAAATAGTTGGTTTCTAAATTCTCAAATTATTTATTGTTCTCATTAAACTTTTCGAAGGTATACCTGATGCTGCAACGGTGCACTTGTTTTCCAAACAAACGGCACAAGGATCGGCAGAATTCAAAGGCGAATCATCGCTCCATCCACATTCTCTGCATGTAAAAGAAACCAAGAACTGTAAGAGGTTGACTTTTGAAGTCAAAATAGGCAATTTTTCTATAATTGGAATGAATTCTTGTTAAAAAAAGTTCAAGAATTTGATAAATTGGACCCTTTTGGGCATTGGAGTAAAAAGTTGTCAAAAAATTCCATCCACATCGTGTGCCCATGCAAAAAGGGGAAAAGAAAGTAGAAGTTGACTTTTGAAGTCAAATAGACAGATTTCAAAATTTGTTTAAATTCCTGCCCAAAAAAAGGTCCAAATTTGATAAATTCATGAACCCTTTTCTTTTGGATGTTGGTGTAAACTTTGTAAGCCAATGATCTGAAGTGAAAGATGGTTTGGAAGGAAGAAGCTTGAAGACAATGGTTACCGAGCAATTTTGACGACGCTTATAAGTGGGCGGCACAAGTATGGAGAAAGTAGAGTAGTTGGTCCGTCTTGTGGCGGTGTGCTAAGAACTTCCTCCAGCCAATCTCTATGCCATGAACGAGCAACCGCTAAGGGATTCCACCTTTTTAGATATACAAACACAGAATGGTACGAGTTAGTCCAAGAATCACTACTTCTACAGCGGGTTTCATTGAAAAGATAGGTTCATGTTCGAGACTTAGAGGTTCTTTTTTCTTCTTTCTATTAAGATATGTTTGGAATAAAATAATTAGGCGTGGACAACAGATACATGATTTTATCCAACAAAGAATGATTAAGCAAATAAGTTTTTAAGCTCAAAGCCATGGGAGGGAAAACCTTGGTAAAAACCAATTAATCATTGAAATGATGAAAGACAATGGTGGCAAGAACCTCTTCAAATTGCAAAAAAAAGTCAATCAAGAACAGATAACAAGAAATGTCAACAAAAGGAGGTGAGTTATAGCTTAAAAATAGCAAAGACAATGATAAACATAAACTCATCAAGAACAGATGGAATTGGAGGATGAAATGCATACCCTTTTGCATTTCTAGCAGTTATATTGGCACCCCTGGCTATCAGAATCTGATTCATATACAAACAGACAGAAGTATATCAGCCAAAGATCCTTTCGACATAAAGGAAAGCCATCTGATTCTAACTTTCTTGAAAGAATCAACCTACTTGACAACATTGTGGATTTCCACCATATGCAGCATAATGAAGGGGTGTGCTTCCAGCACCTGAAAGCACAAAGTTTTGGTTCTATGTCGTAATATAAGCTTAAAAACATTCGCTGTACGATCTGATATTCACATTCACACACCATATCTAGCTTCCTCCAGCAGTTTTCGGCCATGTTTGACAACCATAAGTTAGCTTATTTTTTGAGCTTTTTGAAAAAGTCACGTTTGGTCAGGCATGAGCTCTCTTTTTGAAATGCTACTTCAAGTAGCATTTCAATAAGCTCAAAGGACTTTTTTCCATTTATAACATGTCCTTTTGGATCATTTTCATTTAGCTTATCAGCTCGTTTTTACCAAACATAACTAGCTTTTCAGCTATCGCCTAGTATGCCAAACGGAGCCTTAGTACATATTGAAAAGGGTAAGGAACTACCTATTAAGTCGATTGTAGTGCCATCTTCCACGGTGACCTTATTCACAGACGCTCCCAAATCAAGGAGTAAATGCAAGCTATCAACATGCCCATTTAGTGCAGCCATATGAAGAGCAGTCAAGCCTCCATCAGCAGGTCTATTGATTATCTCATAGAGGGAGTTTCTGTAAATAAAGTTTCAATTCTATTACACTCCACATACAAAAAATTCTAGCAAAAATCAGAAATTCTACTACAGAAGTCATTAAGATTTCTTGAAGCATACCCTTCATTGGATGTAGAGACAAATTCATCGATTCTTCTTGATCTTTTCTTTATAAGTTTATAAAAATCAGGAATGCTAGGGATATAATCCACAAGGAGGATCCTAATGCAACGTGAATGTCCATTGAGAGCAGCCAAATGCAATGCAGTACCTCCGTTTAAATCATCCTTCTTGTGGATCTACATGTGATGGTCGAATATAAGCCTGAAGTTTCTATTCGATATCATTATCGGTGTTAGAATGGAATGCAGTAAAAATACCACAGCTTAGATAGTCATTCATACGTTGGCTTTGAAAAGAACGAGGGTCAACATAACTTCCCAATGACCATATTGACAAGCTTGCATCAAAGCAGTCTGTTTACACGAAAACAGATGACATTATCTTCATATATGCCAACCAATATATCTTCATTGTAATATGATCAAGAAAGTTATATAAGTTCCTAACCTGCCCGCGATGATTCCTGAGATCAATATCAACCCCTGACTCAATCAAAAGCGAAACGATCTAAAGACAAATAAGGCAACATAATCTTTAAGATGGATCATTATAAAGGGATGCAACATAAAGTAGCTAAAAATTAGATAATTTCAATTAAGATTTGATATATATTGACAAAGAAGAAACTGTACCTCATGGTGACCTTGAGCTGCAGAGTGATGAAGGGGTGAATTTCGTCCCCCAAAAGTGGAATATTTTGCAAGTCTAGGGTTATATTCCAATAAGGCTTTGGCTTCTTGAATATCACCATCTCTAGCAGCTGAAACAAGACGCTCTCCAGAGGCTGAGCATCCAAAGGAATTGCCCACAAGACTCAAAAATCTCATGACTTTTTCTTTAAGAAAATCAAATCCCACAAAGAAACAATGAAAAGGGTTTCAATTTCAATGTCTTTCTTATATTTGGTAGAACAACAACAATGACCCACATCAAATCAATATTTTTTGGTGAGTTTTCTTTAGCTAGAATTATGAAACCTAATTAAACGACGGATGACGACATGATTTGTTGCTTCTATTTGCACACAGGTACTTTGTTTTTTACCAAACTAACAACAACCAAACAACAAATCGCTTTCACAAAAATAACATATGATTGAAGATACGGTATTCTTCAGAATGTTTACCAGCTTTTCAACAATAGATTGGAAAATTCTGTACCTAAAAGACTAAGAAAATTAATTACAATTATAGGTTCTATACACGATTGATTAAGAAATTGACTGTTTATCCAGAAACGTATCTCCTAAGAATCCTATCTTGTTTCACTAATCGACACAAACCGACTTCAGGATCATAAATCCAAGTTTATCCAAAAGATTTAACTTTCTGCACTAATCGACACAGACCCACTTTAGAATCGCAAATATTCAACACCCAACTAATGGTTTCCCTTAAAACTCGGATGGTTTGAGAAAGAAAAGCAATAAAATACAAGTGTTTTCTTGAGATGGAATTTCGGGAAAATGACAAAGATTGGCAAGGATCGTATGAGCTCACAGGGGCTATCTCAGGAGGATCCTCCTTGCCAAGAAGTGGGATTTTCCTGTTGTAGCGTCCAATTGGAAATTGTGATCATAACCATCTTTTTTGTTTTGGGGGAATTTTGGGATCGGAAGACCCAGAAAGACAGTGATGACGCACCAGATGTTCGATGAGGATTGAATATGAAACTTAATAAATTGGAGTAAATCACAAAAACAGTCCTTGAACTATTGTAGAAGTAGATGGTTTTGTCCTTTGACTAGTTTTGTATTGATCTATCCAAATGAATAACTATTCCTAATCGATAAGGATTCAGGTCGACGACGACTCGATTATATAATAATCAACGAGACTTGGTAAAACGAAGTCAAGTACAAAAGTCGTCCCCCTCTTGTGTTATTCATGTAAATATCTTGAGAGTAGTTGTTACAAAAATACTAACATCTTTAATCGACATATTTAGTGGTTTGTAGATTTTATCCATTAAACTGTATCTGTAATAAGTATTCTTGTTTGACAAGTACTGAGCTTGATTGAAAACTCGAGTTGATAAAAACCCTGACTTTCAAAATCATTGTTAGATTTTATCCATTAAACTGTAGCTTTCTTTTTGAAATGATTCGGTGTTTCACTAATCCACATCAGCACGACCTCAATATGTTGGAGTACAATACTGGCTATGCTTTGATCATTTATCTTCAATATATGTTGAAACTTTTCTTCTCTTCTTAATGGCTCTTTGCAGAATAGTTTAATAGGGTACCTCATATTCTCATATAAAAAACGGAACTCTTAGTAACACTCCACAATTGACATTTTCGTAAGAACGTGCAAAAGAAACTCAAAAGGAACATCTATTGTGGGTACTCTAGTTATTCATATATAGTGATGATTGAAGTCAGCCAATGCTTAATAACGAGTAATGGAACTTGTTAAATCAAAACTAATACTTTGGTTATCTCAGAATGAGTGATGAAATTTTAAATATACAGAATCGAAATATTCATCCTTGAACTGTTTCATAGTATGTTAGTTTTGTCAATTTTAATAAATAGAATTAAATGAATAGTTATTTATCTTCATAGAGGATTGAGGTCATTGAGAACTGATGGTAACGAGGAATTAAACTCAACGGTTTATAAAAATATCTTTCACAAATGAATAGTTTGTCATTTTAAATGAGAATTAAGGTTGACGAAGATGATGGGAAATGAAACTTATAAAACAGAGAGTTAACTAGGGAAATTGTCCTAGGACTATTTCATAAATTGAAAACAATATCCTTAAGGGGGCGTTTGGTTCGTAGATTTTGAAGGAATATGATAGAATTAGAATGTTGAATTCCATTGACCAAATTTCATTCCCTCGTTTGATTCATTCTTTTTCACGAAAGGAATCTTCAAAATTCTACAAATTACACAAATAAAGGAATTTAACATTCCTTAGCAACTACATGGTATTTTGATGGAATGAAATTCTCTATTTTCATTATACCAAATACACCTTTAACCCAATATACCATAATCTCATAAAACCAAATATGACCATCATCGACCACCTCTGACCACCGTTGATCTGAATCACCGTCGACCATCGCCATCTGAACCACCCCCAACCACCGCCTACCATCGCCATCGGAACCATCGCCGACCACCACCGATCTGAATCACTGGTCTGAACCATCGCCGACCACCACCGATCTGAATCACTGGTCTGAACCATCGCTGACCACTACTGATCTGAATTACTGCCGACCACCATCGATCTGAACCACCACCGGGTGGATCCACTGTCGATCTAAACCACCGCCATCTGAACCACTATGGACCACCACCGATCTGAACCACTGTTGATCATCACCATTTGAACCACTGTGGACCACCACCGATCTAAACCATCGCCGACCACCGGTAACTATCACCGATCTAAATCACCGCTGGCCACCATTGATCTAAACAACCACCAATTTGAACCATCACCGGCCACCATCGATCTGAACAACCGCCGATCTAAACCACCCCAATCTGAACCACCGCCGATCTGAACCACCTCTGACCATTGCCATCTGAACCACTGCCAACCACCGATTACTACCACCGATCTGATTTACCGTCGGTCACCGCCAATCACTAACGATCTGAACAACCATCGATCTCAACTGTTGCCGCCACCGCCGATATGAACCACCACCAATCTGAACCACTGTCAATATGAACCACTTCTAACGACCGCCATTTGAACCACCATAGACCACCATCGATCTGAACCACTGCGGACCACTGCCATCTGGACCATCAAGCACCACCACCAATCTGAAACACTGCCGACAACCACCAATCTGAACAACCGTCCATCTGAACCATCGTTGAGAACCTCCATCTAAAGTATCGCGGACCACCACCAATCTAAAACTGCCAACTACCGTCATCTGAACCACTGTGGACTACTACCGATCTGAACCACCACCGACCACCGTCGACTTAGTAACGTCGTTTGGTTTATGGTTATATTTGAGTTGTATATTTTATATTGTTTTACACATCAAATAGTTATTTTATTAAAGTATTTTTAGTTTTTAAAAAAAAAAAAAATTTTAAAAGGGCATTTTGGTCATTTACTCAATATTTTATTCCAATTCCAAAGCTATATTCTACAAACCAAACAGAAAGATTCCAATTCCTTAACAAATTCTGTTGCAATGTCTGCCAACCAAATAGGTGGTCAAACCTGACAACATTCCATTCCAATTCCTTCAAAATCCAATTCCTTTAACAGATTTCAATTTCATCCAAAAATATTATACAAACCAAACGCCACTTTAGAGTTTTTGTATTTAACCAAACCAAATGAACGAGTATATTGAGGATCTGAACTTGTTAAAATATAGCAAATTATAAAAGAAAAGTCTTTAGATCGTTTCACGGATTTATAGATTTTGTCATTTGAATGCTTTATTTTTCTTCATTTTGTTAGTTCCTAAATCAATAATCGCTCATTAATCTCTTAAACCATCCCAAACAATAAAACATTGTAATCAAAGGATAGATTGTGAAAAGTTGCATGCTATAGTATGATCTTCCCATCGTTCATTCTACTCTTTTAAAACCCTACCTCACAATCTACCTTGTTTGAGGGGCCTAATGATCAATTGTGTCTTCAAATCTGACTGATATGCATCCCAACTCTTTGAACAACAAAATGTTGTTTCTTTCCTCACAACATTACTTTCTTTAGCTTTATGTTTATTGTTGATATTTAGAGTTCTCTTGTGTTGTTTTGTAACCATTGTTACATAGATCTAGAGAAAATGGGGTAAATCATATAGAAACTGTATAAAACTAGAAACCGTGAAACCACTTTGTATCTGTTGTTATGTTTCATAGATAAAACAACACATTTGAGCATGTTGTATTCATATAATGTTATTTCATAGATGAAATGTCAATGAATGTTTTGCCTGTGAAAAAGAAAACACAAAAATACATTTATACATGAAACATACACTCATACTCACATACAATAACAAACCATGTGGAACAATATGAACTATGACTTAAAATCAAACTCATTGAATGAGTTTAGTTGATTTTCACATATGTTATTTCATCGATGAAACACTATATGAAACTGGTTGTTACGATTTCTAAATTTTAAACAGTTTTTATATGATTTTGCGATAGGGATAGGTTTTTTTGTTAACCCAATATATGGTGTTAACTTTGTGAACCAATCACAACCATTCATCTTGAAAATCAATGGACTATATTTATCATGATATATATGTAACAACTAAGAGTATGATATGTTAGATTGGTAGATGAATATATATGAACACGGGTATTATTGGAAAAAAAGATCAAAAAAGCTCTCCTCATTAATTAGCGCCCGATAATTACTCCATCGAATAGTAACCAACATACATACATACATATATATGGTGCTAACTTTATTATTGTTGGTAAAGTAACCGACATAACATATCAATTTATTTTCATATATGAATACAATGTTAACTCTATTATTGTTCATATATCAATTTATGTACATATATGAACAAGGGTATCGTTGTTCACTTATACACATATCTCCCAACAAAAAACCCATCATGTTCACCTGATCATATGTGCCCTTGTGAACATTAATCTCACATGTTCACTTATGAACAATGAGATTCCATTCAACTTATTATACACGGGATAATATATGGAAAAGAGGGAAACTCTTGATCAATTTTTGTGCTTAGGTGAGTTGTCTTTTTCAAACATTTTGTGCTTAGGTAATTTAGCTAAAATCATGAAAATGAATGTTTTTATAACAGTCCATTAATGTAAATGGAATAAAAAAAGAAAAAAAATTATCAATATATCATCAATATTAATTGCATGGTGAGAGATGAACATAGATAACAATGACTTATAATTAATCTAAAATGTTTGTATAGTTAATGTATTTTTCATTGTTAACAAATGATCTTAACACTCTATTAATATGTATATATATATATATATATATATATATGTGTGTGTGTGTGTGTATAAAACATGTATGGCATGAAGGATGACTTTTGTGAAAACGTGCCATCGATTTAGTTATTAACATGATAGCGAAAGATTAGGTCAAACCATCATCAACATGACAAATAATAGACGTCAAAATTCCATTGACTAATTAAGAGGAGACCATTTTTTAAAGGGGTTGAAATGTAAATAGTTGACATGTTAAAGGTGATTTTGGTAATTAATAATATTGAAAGGGGTTCAATTTGAATATATTAATTGGTAGCATTGACGTGGAAGGGCAAGTGAAGCATGGGTCCCATGATTGGTCATTATTAGCCGATCAAGTATGCTCCCCTTCCTTTTTCTTAATTTTAAATTTAATTGATTTTGCTGGCATGCATGTTAGCTATAATTAATCTGTGACTCATGTCCTTTCATATCTCTCTCTCTCTCTCTCTCTCTCTATATATATATTATAACGAGTTGTTTGTTTTCTTTTAATAGTTTTATTAAAAGATAATTTTTAAATCGTTAAGAGGTAAATCTTGTTTGGCAAAAAAAAGTCTGTTTTTTAATGGTTC